CTTAGAAAACTTAGCTTACTAAATGTTGTCAAAAACATACCTTTAACCACCAAATCCATAGGCAGAAAGCCTCCCATTAGAGATATAAAGTTGGCACTTATTCCTACAGTCATCTCTGTTTGGACAAACTACGTTCAAATTCAAAGGTAAATTGTGAGAAGGAAATAGTTCGATTTGGATCAGCTAAGAGTTTTTATAATAACCATGTAGAACGTCAAACTGTTGAATACTCTCAAATTGTCATAAAAGGAAACAGCAAGCAAGCACCCTAAGGAATTGTTCAGCAAACAAGCATAGCAAATATACACAAGAAAATATATTGAAACTTGTCATGAGTAAAGAAAGTGATAACATTTACCTACTTAGTTCTCCAAGTCAATCCTATAAGAAAAAATGATTTGTTCAATTTGCAAAACCTTACAATTTTCACATGATTTTCATCACCTTTAAATGCAACTTCCTTTTCCCATGTATATGCAATCTTTTTAGGCTGGAAGATGGAAAAAAATGCAAGCTACTTCAAACTGCGGCATGGTAGACATAGACCTCCTTTTATTTCTTTTTCATTGTGTGAACACATAATTTTTCAATACCAAAGAAGGAAAACAGAACAGGAGATAGGATGAAACTTCAAAAAAGAACACAATATTACTAATTCAGCACACATGAAATGAAAAAAAAAAAGAAAAAGAAAAAAGGAAGACTCCTATGGAGGAATGAAGCTAACCATTCTCCTTAAAAAAAAATAATAATAATAATCTAACTTCTCAAGCTCTCTGGGCATCATTAACTACCCTGAAGAAATTGCTCTTAAAGATGCTGAAGGACTGCTTAAGTCAAAAACCATTAACCACTTCCCATAAGAGATATTAACCAAAAAATCAAAGAAAAGAGATGAGCAATTTTATATTTCTGCAATAGTGCAATATGACATTAGAATTTAGAACTTGTGCACCCTGTGAAAATTTGGCATGTGGACCAGAATATATGGTGAGCATCCAACCTAAAACCAATTGGCTTAGGTGGAGTGGCCCATTGTACATTTAAGCAACACATATTTCTTTTTACATTTCAGTGTGGGATTTTCCTGCTAAACAGTTAACATACCCAGTTTAGCTCTCATGCCTGAAATAAAACTCCAGAAGAAACTAAACAAAAAAGATGCCAGATGCATTTCTCTATCTAAAGCTATTCAATCAACAAGTTAGAGAAAAGCCGAAAAAAAGGGTTGGAGAAAAGGAAATATGATTACAACTTGTCATCTTCCATCTTCACAGAATTTGCTACAGCTAGAGGAGGCTGGTACATATTATGATATCCTAGTATCAATGTGTGAAATACAAACTTCAAAAATGCCGGAGAATTTTATAAAGCATAACACAAAACGTCTTTGTATACCTCCGGATTGTGTATCCCAAAGAAAGGGAATCTAACTAAACAAACAGCTCCAGGATGGAGGAAAAACATGCTAATTGAAAAGATCCAGATTTTCTGACGTGTCTTACCTCTGGGCAAAGCACATTGACACGTATTCCTTGACGTTTGTATGGAGCTAGTGATCTAGTAAACAACACAACACCAGCTGATAAAAAAAAAAATTTTAATTATTTAACTATCAAAATTTTTGTTTCTGGTAAGAAGATCATATGCATGATTCCCACACCCCCTCCCCCCAAGAAAAAAAAAAAGAATCAACTATACGCATGGATCTCATGCTCTTAGCTCTTTCAGACTTTTCTGTGAACAACCCCCTGCTTTATTGAATCTATTTTCTCCTCTCTTTGTTTTTTTAAGTGTGAATATCAACATAAGACCAAGTGGAGGGGCTCATATGGTATTTAACTCCACAGGTTTACTATTAACCCATTGATGTGGGATTCCTCCACTTAACATTTAGCATTCCTCCACTTAACAGTTAGCATTGATGCCATTTATTTACCCTAAGACGAATTATTGATGAAAGTCCCATTAATGAGCTTTTCTAGAGAATTTTTAAAAGGTTTCACATGTATACACTAAAACAAGACAACATACAAGTTAATTTTAATAGAGTGAACGAAATATTAGGGACTCAGAACAAACCTTTGGAGCTACTGTATATAGGGTCCTTAGTTGAAGGATAAAGTCCGGCAGAAGACCCCAAATTAATTATCACACCAGGCTTTTGCATGGCTTGCATAGTTCTGATCTGTAATACGAGGAAGATAATCATTAATAGTTCTCCAAAACTATTTTAAAAAAATTTAAAAAAAAAAAAAAAAAGCATCAGAAAGAGACTTTTCCTCTTGCAATACAATGCATCAAGTTTATAAAGCAGCACATGAAGCATGCTGGCAGAGACCTCCAAAGTTCAAAGGTTTATGAAAGACCAGCAGAAACTGATTTTTATAACTAAATTCTAGTTTGACATGTATCCAATGAAGAAAAGCTTGGTTGGGAGTTTGGATAAATCTTTTTTTATGTGTATTTAAAATTTGGTTTGAATCAAAGGCATTTTAGACCCTGGAAGGTCTAGGTTGAAATCCCACTTCCTGCTGGAGTGTAAGTAAATAATTGCAAATAGAAAAAGAAGTTACCACATTTGGAAATTTCCTATTTTCCTTTTAGAACTGGA